ACCCATTCCAGCTAAACTTTCAAGCTTGTGTCTAGACATGTTGACTGGACTTGTCCAGTCGAAGTCCATCATCCAGTGAGTTTATCCATCAAACAACTTAAATATTCCTCATAGTGGAATAGTGGCAGATGATCCTGCAGCTCATGCCTTAAAAAAAAGAATGAGTCATCTAAATAGGATGGTTGAGCAACTATCTGCAGACCCGATAAGAGTAGAAATATAAGTAGAAATAAATTTGCATTGAGACAGAAAATATTTTTTAAATGGTGCATTTTATCCTTTTGTTATTTCCATAAACATGTGAATTAACTCTCAGTTTGGCTCTGAAATTTACATATTAAAAAGAATCTAGTGCCACACCTACATTTTGCTAGAATTGTAGAAATCAAGACATGCCCCCATAGCCACCAAGGGGAAAAAAAGAAAAAATAAATCTACACTGTGTAGTTTCATCTGAATCCCTAATTCAGATTCCCTGTGGTCATTGAGGAAGAGGAATAGAATAATTACTCCCAATATTTTTATTTCAATCTTGGGATATACCTTTCCCTATATACTGTGATCCTGCTTCACAGTTCCACATGTGTTTATTTCCAGCATCTGTTCTCTCTCCATGTTCATTTTTCATTGCTGCAAATTGTCTCAATAAATATTCTTTTAAAAGTCTTTGTACTATTTTAAACAATTGCAATTTTAACAAATTCACTTTGTCAGGGCTGGCATATTGGTTTTCTGTATAAACATTAATTGGACTCCAACAGTTTCTCTGGGAAACTAGTAGAGATTATATAAAATAGCTTGTTAAAATATAAACCACTTGGAATTTTATGTTTGGTTTCACATATTAATATATCTTGACAGTTATTAGTTTGTTTTTCAAAAAAGCCCTGTAGATATTGAGATAATGAATTTCATAATTAACTAAATGAATTTTATAATTAACCATTAGGTTATGTATAAATAACATGCAGATAAAGGCTAGTTCTTGTCACTTATCAAACCCTCTAAAGTTCTAAACAATAATAAAGTTACACCTAGATGTTCCCCATAGTTAATTTATTTCATTTCTAAAGAAAGCATTGCTCTCTCAAATACTACATTCCACACCTCTGTTGAAAAGCAGATGGATTGGAAGCTAAAGAACAAGTTATTCTGTTATTGTTTTGCTACTTTTAAACAAGTTAATGTATACATTAGCCCACCCGCTGTTAATCACACTCCAATGCCAAAGTTTGTCCTGAGATGTTAATTTAGCTTGCTTTCTTGGATCATATGATAGAAAGGCTGCAGTTGCAATATGTCATCTTAGATGAATTGTCCAATGCAAAATGTATATTTTGAAATCTTTGAGGCAGGGAGAAAATTGGGATGATGTAAGAAAGGTGTAATTTTGCTGTTTCATCATCAACTAATACCATCATATTTTTAATAAAACTCAGATCAGTCATAAGAAATTTTAGGAATTTGTACTGATTAGCTTTATATCTTACATTTAATGAAAAGGTTTCAAAAAATGAAACTTCTTAAAATAATAAATTAATATTCATTATTAATAATTAATTAATTAATCTTAAATAATACATTAATCTTAAATTAAACCAACAAATTAGTAGATTACTATTTTTTAAAAAAATAAATAATGATTAGATAGCACATCAAAAGGAGACTCTGAAAATTTAGTAACATACCAAAGAAGTCAGAACGTTGATCATTGTCATATATCAGAATTGAGATTATTATGGTTGTTGATACAGTCTATATCAGGGGTGTCAAACTCGCAATATCACGTGACGTGTCACAACGTGTCACAACTTTTTTTCCATTACCGGCAACGGGCACGGTTTCAACATGATGCATTTGGCCTGTGGGCTGGCAGTTTGACACCCCTGGTCTATATTATCTTGTCTGTAAAGTCTGTCTAATTCCAGACTTGCCCAATAGTGTAGTTCTGCTACAGTTCCAAAGATGTGGGATAAAAATAACAGAGCATTATCATGCAACACTAAGAAAAATCCATGTATATTTCAGGAATAGATACAATTATCTATAAATAGTGCAAGGTATTTGAAATTTGGAAACATTTATCTACAGTACTTGGTATGGGATAATCAATTGTATTTGTATATGTGTATGTGTATGTGTTTTAGGTGTTGCCATACAGGAAAGGAAAGATAGCCTAGTTAGAGATGGGTGACCTCATCTGCTTCAAAAACCATTTTGTCCCCCACCCACTTGCTCCTGTTACCATTTCATTTTTTTCCTATCCTGAATGGAACATATTTACCTTAAACTTTAAAAGTTTTAATGGGCAGGGGCAAAAAAGGCTCTTTGTATATTAAAGTATGGATGCAGAGATCTACAGTCTTTCTGTAGTTTCTGGAACTGCAGCCAGTGAGGTTTAGCAGGCAAGGGCAGGACTAACTATGAGATGATCCAGGTTCAAATCCCCTCTAGCCATGGAAACTCACTGGGTGATTTGGGCCTAGTCATTCTTTCTCAACTCAATTTACCTCACAGAATTGTTCTTGCTTGATAAGGTGAGAGAAAATCCCTATACAAGCTCTATCAAGGCAGGGTATAATCACGCAATTAAATATATCTTGTAGCACCATCAGCATAGGCTATAACAAAGGATGCTAGAGGTGATTAATTGGGCACCATGTTTGAAGACTGCTATTTATTTATTTTTTGCTGTCCTTAATAGAGGGCGGTTTGGTAATTTTCTCTGCCTTCTCTGCCTGATTTCTGTGACAGAAAAGAATAATCCCCCATGCATGCAAAACGTGAGCTTGTATCTTCTCTAAAAATTAAAAAAGAGAGCTACGTGCTAATGTATCTAAATACATTTTGATGAACAACTTGAAGAAACATATATTTTAAATCTGACAAAAGTTTTCTGCTCCAGCATCTCACGCAAAATGATGAAATAGAATTAGAAAGCAGAAGCAACTGTCTCATGCTACTAACAGATAATTATGGTTAAAAAGATGAGACTGGTACTTTTTTCTATTTCTTCCTTTTGTAGAGGAAACTTACAAACCACAAAGTTCATGAGCTCTGGCAGGACATGACACTCTTGGGGATGCTCAAGAGGCTCATTTCCAGCTAAGAACAGACCACCAAAAGCCACTCCTGGATCTAATAACTCTTTTTAGCCACTGGGTAATTCTACTCCTTTAGCAAAGTTGCAACTTTTTGTTTCTGAGGTGGCAAGGGCTTGATGGGCTGGCAGCGCTGGCTAGCCGAAGTGGTGAAGTGATTCATTTGGAACCGAATCCAAAACTGAAAGGGTTTTCTATTTTTCTAAAGCAAGAATTTTTTTATTCATTTTAGATTTGTCTTATTCCCATTATTTAGTTTCAGAGAAGGATGTTGCTTAAAGTGATGCACAATAAAAGAATATTTGCTTTCATGTCTTTCTAAGAAGAACAATGCAAAAGCAGTAGCAGCAAGTTACCAACTCCAAATCAGCAGTCAATAAATCAGACTATCCAATAGCAGTTAAATGCTTGCTGGAAAATGAATCTTTCAAACTGACAGCAGAAAGACAGTTAGAGTTTTGCGGCTGAGTATACTATGCATGCAAGAACAAAAATCCTTTTTTTGGGGGGGGGGATGTTGCTACAGATCATGTTGTGAAACCAATGGTGCACATACGTAAGGGGAGCCACACGACCTTTTTAGAAGATGAGAATTGCAGTCAGAATCCATTCTATTTTGAACTTAAAAGGGGATAATCAACGAGCAAAAAAGGTGTTTCAGCAGATGTGGGCTGTGAATGTAGTGATTCCTTATCCACATTTTTCTTGGGATTGTACAGCTGCTGCTAAGGGAAGTTGCATGATCCCTGGAAAAGGCTGCTTTAAATAATTGCAGACAGATGCTACATTCAACCTCACACCTCTTTGCGCTCTGAAAACAGTTATCAGCTAGCACAGCTGACAGATTGCTGATCTGAGTCTTTTCTCTTAGTTGAAAATTTGTCAGCAATCTTCAGTACTACTGTAGTTGAAGTTTCTGGGGGTTTTCAGATGTAGCCCCACTTATATGACAATGCATATAAGACTGCAATGAGATTTGAATATCCAAGAATAACAATGAGCAGAAGTACTTCAGATTTATTTCATCCTTAGAACAATTATCGATAGATAGACAGACAGACAGATAGATAACCTTTATTGTCATTTTTTTACTGTGGGCACAATGGCACACATTAAAAATGAAATTTAGTTGCTTTCTCTCAAAGTGTACACATACATAACACACATTTAAACATACTGAGAATGTTACAATGTAATTCAGTTTTCCCTGATGGATGCACGTGACATTGTAAACCATCATTATTTATTTTTATTTATCTAATTTATATGGCTGTCCATCATACCAAAACTAATTCTGGACAGCATATAACAAAGCTAAAAACAATAAATAAATAAAATCATTATTGTTTCTAATTATAAAAAAACATTAAAACTATAACAAGGAAATAACATAGGATGTTAATAATAATGGAGCTACCTCACAAGTTCATCTATCCCTTAAAGTCTCCAGGCTTGCCAACACAATCAGGTCTTAAACTAGGTTATGAGGTCAATTTCACCTCTGGGGAAGAAGATTCCATAATGCAGATGCCACCACAGAAAAGGCCACTGCCTAAGACCTACCAAATGGGACTTATAACATGAGAAATACATACATACATACATAGTTCAACTCATTAAAAATAAAGCATGTTAAAAACTGTGCGTATGTATGTGTGTGTGTATGAGGGTGGGAGAGAAGAGTGGAAAAGTATCAAATTAACTGCAATGAGTGTTTGGTATTTGATTTTTTTAAATTTCAACTATTTAACAATTTTTTGAAAAAAGCATTCTGTGTTAAAAGAAAGAAAATCCATTTGAAAAACTATCTACAATATCCATTGTAACAATAGTGTTAATGCACACGGCTTTTTGGGAATGTTCACACATCCTCTATTAACACTGAGTTTCTTTCTTTAGACGGCTGAACAGAAATAAACTGCAAGTTCTTCCAGAACTGCTTTTTCAGAACACACTGAAGCTAACCAGACTGTAAGTATAGTTTTTATTTTTGGCATCCTATATGTGCTTTGATTCTTAAGTCAGCAATTTTGGCTGTGAGGTTTTGGTATGATGCCTTCTTGAAGTGGATTTTGAAATGCGTCTTGGTTTATTATATAAAATCTTTTGCTGGGAAACATTTACTTGTCTTTTTACTACTCTGTACATTAATTGTGAAGTCAAAGCTGCCTTGGGTGTGTTTCTGTTTCTCTTTTCTTCTCTACTGTGGCTACACATGAGATAGATCACAAATTTTTACTTCCAGCTTATATTAACAAACTGTGAAATTGAGGGTTAATCTCAAAATGTTTGGTAGGTTCATAAGTCTCACAAATGTTGGTTTTCCTCAAACAAAGCATTCTTAAAAATAATTACTGTATGTCAAACTGTGATTAATAAAATTGGATATGAGGTTTCTTAATTTCCTCACATGCTGGCACATTGTAGGAGGACAACCATATTAGTCCATAGTGGCAAAAAATCTAATGAAGTGAACTACAGTCCATGAAATCTTATGTCTTTTAATGAAATTAATTAGTTTGAAAAGGTGCTACCACATTCCATCTGATTTTTCACATGCTAGGGAAGGAGAAGAATTGTTGTTGTTTTTTAAAAAAAGAAATTGAGTACCGGGAGAGGGTAAGCTCACTTCTGTTGTGAAAATCTACAATTTGCGAAGAAAGAAGAAGTCTGAAGGAGCAAATTAGTTTTGGATGTAGGAGTTTAGGAAATAGGTGTCTATAAAGACACTGATTTTTATTCCAATAATGATTTTGCATAGCAACAGGACAGCTGTGATTATTATCACTTCTCATGACCCCTGCTGTATTTGTTCAGTATATCCTTGAAGTAAACAAGGTCATGCCTTTGTATTCTCATCTAGATAAGATAAAAGATCTAATCATAATTTGCATTATAATATCAAATCATATAAAAGAAATATATTTGTGAATCATAATGATATGAGCTCAGCAACCATGAGACTTGTTTTTGAAAGCCATTTATTGCATTTCAGTATTTTATTCTGATTCATAAAAAAGGTTCATCTACATAATTTGTGTTGATATACAATCTGGCTGTATCCTGAATACTGTGTGCATGTGCACATGCGCACACTTTCTCACACACACACAGTATTGACAACCTGATAGTCTCAGTATATGAATGACTCTTAATGCATTAATAGGATGAAGCTAGCACCGTCATATTTCCCATCTTTGTTTACAGTTGATAATATCGCCTAATTTTTTTCAGCCAATATAACTGCAACAAATGTGATTATTAGAATATTTTATCTGAAAGAATTAGTGATGTTCTTTCAATAAATAAATTCTTTTTCACTAACAGTATATAGTTAAAATTTCCATCTGTATTTGTGATATAAGAATGAAGGTTTGAAAATTACAAAGTGCCATTTTATTTGGATAGTCCTTCCTGGATTTCCAATCATAATTTATATTGTCAATAGTAGTTTAAGTTCCTGTATTTTGTGGGCAAATGGAATGAAAACAAGCCCTTGACAATCTATTTAAATACTTGTAAAGCTGTGAAGAACAGTTTTATCCTTAAACTGGCCAATTAAAACAAAAGGCCTGTTAAAAGAAATGGGGGAATATAGTTGCAGTGTCTTTCAATTATAGAAAGGGTCCGAAGCTCCTATAATTATTTACATGTCTTTTTATGACATCTGTTTGACATTATGGGTGGGAATATACAGGAAAATCAACTTTAAAAAGCAATGCAAAGAATCCTGTTAAATTAGTTTGATTCATACATTGCTAGAAGGAGACCGCCAGAAATTATGCATTGTGTGTTTGCATTTTATTCCAAGGTCGTTTTGTTGAAGCTTTGCTGTACATTATTTATAGAACAGTATCTTCCCTGTCTGTGATGTTAAAAGAAAAAAAAAGTTTCTGACATATTTGAATAATGTTTATATTCAGTTCCCATCCCAAGTATTTGACTTAAATCATAGAGTTTCAAGAAACAAGGCCAAATTTTTTGGAAGTCAGTCTCTGGAGAATTTAGATGTCTTAAAATAGACATTCCCATTGTTAGATTCATATTTCTGTTATAAGTGCATTTAAGTAGTAAAGGGTGAAGTAATAAGAAATGACTAGTTAGCATTCAATGTTTACCTACCTAATCAAACTAAAATTGGCATTTCGTGTTTCACAAGTGAAGAATTTCAGAACTTCACTCAGAATATAGCCATCAATCTTTCCAGCATTATGGAACTTAGTAAGGAAAAGGCACATTACATGAATAATATGTATTCCAGAGAAAAACTCTGGAATTGTTGATATATCTCTCAACAATTCCAGAGTTTTCCTCTTACACTTACATAGTAGTGAACGTCCTGCTCCTGGCTTGGTTATGGCTATACTAGGGGTAGGCAACCTTGGCTATGCTGGCTCAGGAATTCTGGAAGTTGAAGTCCACGGGTCATAAAAGAGCCAAGGTTGCCTACCCTGGGCTATACCAATGCTCCATTTTTATAGTTAACCTCTTTGCTCTAAGGCCCTTCACTTTCAGGCTTGACAAATCAAGGTCTCAGAGAAAACGTGCTTCACTGATTATTATTTTTTTTTAAAAAAATACTTGTACCATGCGAAAACAGTCAGTTTGGTATTTTTCTCCCTAGACATATTTCCTCTTTCAGCAACTCTCAATAGTCTCATGACTTTTTGTTTTCTTCATATTGATGGATGGGGTCTCCTGCTTTCAGGTTCTAAAGATGAGCAGGCTACTTCCATAAAGAACTTTCTTCTAAGAATTGAAAGATCCTATATTGAACATTAAAGTTTTTAACTTTGGCTGTAACCATTTTACTGGTCTGTTATAGTCCTTGATTTGTGACTGCAATTGGGATTGGAACATCTGTTGCTAAGTGATGGAATTGTTAAGTGAGTAGTATCCGGTTTTATGAACTGTTTTACTGTAGTCATTAAGTGATTCTTGTAGTTGTCAAGCAAATCTGGCTTTCCCCCATTGACTTTACTTGTTGGATGTCCCTTGGGAACATTCCAATCATTGGATTGCATGGCAATCATGTGACCCCTGGATACTACAACCATCATAAATATGTTAGTTGCCAGGTGCCCAAAATTTCATCATGAGAACACAAGGACACTGTTACAGGACATAGGTTACTTTTTTCAGTGCTGTCGTAACTTCGAACAGCCGTTAGACAAATTGTTGTAAGTTGAGGACTACCTGCATTTGCTTATTTAAAAAAGACAAAATGCTATACAAATGTTCATGTTTTTTTTAAATCCCTTTAAGCTGTTATCTGCAAGTCTTGTTCTGACCCAAATTTGGGGCGCACGTAATATAAAGACATTCTTGCTTCGCCCAAAGAACTATGAATTGTGGTAGAACATTTAGAAGTTTTCTTTACGAGCCCAGAGACACTGAAGTTGGCCCCATTCTTCTCTTCAGTAATGTTTTTAGCTTGTAGTTATACAAAAATCTTTACTACTCAGAGCCTACATGCTGCGATTTGGATGTCTTTAGTGGATGTGTGGGGTAGGACTGTTTCTAATCCTGGGCCTCTCTGCCTTAAACAACTTGGAAAGTGTCTTCCAATTACTTGGGATGTCTTTTGCAGTTAGTCAGAGGATGATAGCTAATCTTCAGAGGCAAGTGCCTTGTCAGAATGTGCCCTTAAATTAAAAGGCTCATCTCACATGAGAGCAGGTGCTAGTAACTCACCTTTTACATGAGCTCAAGTTATTAGGCCCTGTGAGGGCAAACAAAACATGTCCGAAGGAAATAGAAGGTTGCTATGGTTTTAGCTCATTCAGGAATTGAGCTTTACTGTGTACAGATCCCAGCAGGTCCGGTCAGAAGATGGTAAATAATTACAAGGAACGTCAGGTCTCCGGAGGCCACTTCAAGTTTGAAAGGATGTTCTCTAGGTCAGAGGTGACAACTAGAGACTGCCGAGAGATTCTTGTACCATTTATCAAGCTGAAGCTATTTTTATTGCTTTCACTGTGCTCTGTCTCTAAATGGTATAATTTGAGCAAAATCATGTCTGGAAAAGTGACTCTGATTGCAAGCCCTTGTGGCATCTTTCTGTTTCCAGTGTAAGGCTAAGGGCTCTGCTTATTTTCTTCAAGTATGAAAGGAACGTTAACAAATTATCTGAGCAGAAAACAAATGAGGGGATGTCAGAAAGTGAATAATTGAGGTTTCATCCTGGATTTCTAGTCTCCCCAGTGTGAAGTTAACAATTCAAAGCTAATGTGTACAGATGTTTTGCCCACTTTTTTTTTAATAAAGCCGAAGAGAAAGAGAAGTGGCAGTAAGTATAAAGGCATGATTAAAAGTAGGTATGTTATCATTTTATGCTGATTCCTGCAAAGATTTTGCTGCTTAGGAAGTGCCTCTATACAGTAATGAACAAGATTGTAATTTTCTCAACAGATTTTTAACACGGCTTTTTTCTACTGTTTTTGTTTTTTCATTTTCTTCACTGGAAGCTTTTAGGATAGATTGGAAGGTGGTGGTGGTAGAGTTTCTAATATTTGGTTATTATTCCTGTATTAGGATACACTTTACAAAAAATACAAAAGCAAGCCTTAGTTTTTCAGAGAGTAAACACCTGCCTGAATATATTTTCCAACTTTGTTTAGTTAGAATTTTATTTTTTGAGTTAATTTGCTAATTTTACTTGCTCATTTGTTGACTTACTATCCTCTGAAATGGAAAGATCCTCAGCAGTTTAGAATAGAAGTTGTCAAATGCACTGAAAAATTTGTGGTATACTAATAATAAAAAAATGAAAACAGTGCAGAGCAATGCTCTGAAAGATAAAACTAAAATTAATCCCTAGCTAGCTACTTTTTGCTCAATTTCAGGAAGCAAATATGTTTTTTAGTGGCTCAGCTTTTCATGGGAAAGGTTTTAATACTAAAAGTTCAAGAAGCTTAAATTCCCCCTCTGATGAGTCCTTCCCTATTCTGGGCCTGAACCAGATTGGGACC